CTTACATCACCGACTGATTGTGTAATCTTGAGAATTCAGGTAAGCCCCTTAAAAGCATTGGATTTCTCATCTGGAAAATGGGATAATAAATGCATGGACCACATAGAATTAATGTGTAAACTGGTACATGAATTGGTACAAACATGAAATGGCACATCTTAAGTATCATCACAGTGTTTGGCTTTAGTAATAGTTACTCTCATTATTAATTAATCCACCTTGTATCCCAAACTTATATGGTGTCTAGCGCAGAATAGTTTTTCAGCAAATATTTACTGGACTGAAATTTACAGTTCTGAAATTTAAGCAATTCATCAACAGCAGAGTAGTCACCCCTATGTTACCTATCTCTTCTTCCACAGAAAGGGAGAGGAAACAGAAGCCAACTATCATATTTTCTTTGCTTACTCTAAACCTTTTTCAATTTAGCAATAAAATAAAATTCATGAACCCCAACAAGCTTGATTTTTTTTTTTCAGATTTATTTTATTTATACAAGAACTGGGGTACAGGTGTGTGGGAGGGTGAGAGGATACACCAGAGACAGAGCGGGTAACAGAACAGGCAGAATGACCGAAATACACTGCTGAGGGGAGCAGCAGGCAAGACAGGAGAAGTCTGCCATGCCATGTGGGTTGCTCCACAGCCCGTAGGGATCGAACTGGCACTGCAGAGGCTGTGGACATCTTCACAGGGCTGCGCTCAACTGCCTGCGCCACCAGGGAGGCCCAAGCTTGATATTTTTTTGCTCACACTATTTGAAAATAGTTGGGTTTCCCAAATCTAATGTATTCTAGGTCATCCGTTTTATATCAATGCAGTCTAAATGCAACTTATAATGACAGTCAACGAATTATTATGAGCTCATTGTGTTTTTGAATATTTATTAATGTTCAATCTACACTTCATAGAGGCAAAACTATTTTGTTTTGGGCCTTCCCAATGGCACAGGGGTTGAAGTCTCAGCACTGTCAAGCTATCACCAGCCACCTCAGCATGAATTTGATTCCTGGCCAAGGAGCTACCCACATGGCACAGCAGACCTCTCCTGTCTCGCCCGCTGCTCCCCTCAGCAGTGTATTTCAGTGGATCCACTTGTTCTGCTGTCCACTATCTCTGGTGAATCCTCTTATCCCCTGCACTTCTGATACATCCTAGTTCTTGTATCCATAAATTAATAAAGTAAATAATTAAAAAACCTCTTTTGTTTTTATAGGACACTCAACAGTCAAAATAACCTTTGGAAAGCACAAATCAGATTTTAGCATTGGTGTGCTTTTATACTCTAAAGACTGTTGCAGAGACTAGTACTAAACTACCTAAGGATGCTTACAGATACCATGTGATTTTGCTACTTCTTATATTTTTCCTTGACTTTCACTGTGCTCCATGCACATTTGCATTTTTCAAGCCCTCAGATGTAGCAAACTTGTTGCTCTCTTACAGTTTTGTATTTGTTGATCTTTCTATCTAACCCATGAAGTTGTCAGTTTAAATGCTATCACTGTGACCTTGGCCAAAGAGACCTGCCCCTTAGTGCCACTCTGTTCCATGATCCAGTTGTCTCTCTTTGACTATCTCAATATTTTTCATGTTTACTCTTCCTCCCCCAACCCCTGAGGCATGTGCTTAAAAACAAGGACATGTGCTTCTTGTGTACCAAGGCATCTTCCAAGGTTATTAACAGACCAGTACATGGAAGATGTTTGAGAAATGGATGTTTAATAAATAAGTAAATTGGGAATGAATGGGAAAAAAGTGCAACACTATAATAGGACTATTCCTCTCTCAAAAGAACAGAGTATTGAGAATTCAATCATAAGCATATGACAGTAGTTCATGTTTAAAAGAAAATGTTCCATTGCTTTCTGATATTTCATAAGTTATTAACTTTTTCTCACTTTATGACCAATCTTTCAGACATTACTTAATTTGCCCACTCCAAAGTTACACTCAATGTCATCACCAAACTGATCATATAGCCATGTATAAAATATACCTAACAGGTCCTCCCGGTGGCACAGCGGGTTGAGCGCAGTGCTGTGAAGCTGTCCACAGCCTCTGCAGCACAGGTTTGATTACCGGCTGGCCTCGGAGATACCCACATAGCACCGCAGACCTCTCCTGTCTCACCTGCTGCTCCCCTCAGCAGTGTTTTCGGTCGTCTGCCTATTCTGCTCCCAACTCTGTCTCTGGTGAATCCTCTCACCCTTCCATGCCTCTGGCCTATACCCCAGCTCTTGTATAAATAAAATAAATCTTTAAATATATATATATATGTATGTGTGTGTGTGTGTGTCATTGTCTCAATGGTTGAGTTTTCTCATATGTAATATGGGAATAATAAGGTTTATTTCATAGGCTTATGAGAGGATAAAGTTAAATATTGTCTTTTGTATGTGGTTAGAATTACAGAAGCATTGACTGCTGCTGCTAGTATGGCTACTATGAAAATTAAATTCTGAAAACAATCCTTTCACTGAAGATAAATGAAACTAACAGAACATTTTACCAATCACATTAGGTAACGGGAGCCAGTAAAATGTACCAAGGTAGGTTATGAGGGTGTAAAAATATAAAAGCATAAAAGTAATTAGTTTTGTTGGGTTTTGTTTTCTTCTATAAGAAAGGAAATATGAGAACAAAAATTATCCATTTATTGTGCAGACGTGGAGGTCTCTGGTGATCTCATAAGTTAGAATGTTGACCATTGGCCAAAGGGGCCAGGTGGAAGAAGACAGAAGGAAGCAATTTTTTTTTAAGATTTATTTATTTATTTTATACAAGCACTGGGTACAGTCAGAAGCGCGGGAGGGTGAGAGAATTCACCAGAACCAGACCAGGGAACAGAACAGGCAGATTGACGAAACACACTGCTGAGGGGAGCAGCAGGCATGGCAGGAGAGGTCTGCGCACCCTGTGGGACCCTCGTTGGTGGCCGGGGATCGAACTGGTGCTGCAGAGGCTGCGGGCAGCTTTGCAGCCCAGCGCTCAATAGCTGCACCACCAGGGAGGCCCAAAAGGAAGCAAATTATAGAGTGAATGGGACATGAGAAAGTAGGAACAGTATATGAAGATAACAGTTTTGAAAGGCTCAACCATTGAAGAAGAAAGATAAGCAGGAATCAGGAAGGATTTAATGTTGCATGTATAGTTCTTAGCATTAACATTAAATAACAGCTATTAGTCTAGAATAAGACTTAGGATAAGATGGGTTGAAGAAAATTCAGTGTCATGAAATCCGTGAGAAGATGAGAGAATATGGAATTCCTGGGACATGTAATGCCAATGGCCTTGTAACTCTCATAATAAAAGCAATACAAAGATCAGTGCAAATATTAATGAATTAATGGACTCACAGTGGGCTATATACTCTCTGCTGTTTTCTTCATGAGATACAAGGCAACTCATTTGCTGAGAGCACAGCAGAGGAAGTTGAGTAGACAGAGGAAAATTTGAGGAGAGTGGAAAGTTCTGTTAAAAAAAAAATAGTCCTTGGGCCTCCACTGGTGGCGCAGCGGTTGAGCGCTGGGTTGCAAGGCTGCCTGAAGCCTCTGCAGCACCGGTTGGATCCCTGGTTGCTCCCTGGCTTCCGGAGGAGGGTCCCACATGGCGCGCAGACCTCTCCTGCCGCCCGCTGCTCCCCTCAGCAGTGTGTTTCGTCAGTCTGCCTGCTCTGCTCCCCGCTCTGGCTCTGGTGAATTCTCTCACCCTCCCGTGCTTCTGACTGTACCCAGTGCTTGTATAAATAAATAAATCAATCTTTAAAAAAAAAAATAGTCCTTAAGGGAACTTTGTCTTATAATTATGGATTTGTTTTCTTGATGTCCCAATCTATTGAATTCTGTATAGTAAGATAGTGATTTAATAATCATAAAACAAGTGTCTGGCTTCACCCTTAGTATATTTTACATGTTCAATAAATGTTAAGTGACTGAATAAATGGTTCGCTTGAGATCTTAATCATTTTACTTTTTAAAATTTGTCAGATACCCACAATTTATCAGAAGATTAGGGACTTAGGATCCTAGACTTGATTTAACAAAGGAAAATGTTACTAATATGTGAATATTAGCTCAAATAACTCAAAATAAAGCCATTAACCCTGCAACTTGAATTTTTCCATTTGAACTTCCAAACTTTCATCATTAATACTACCTGCCCACCACAGTATGAGATGTTGCTAGTTCCACCCATATCTCCCCAACACTCATCATTCTAGTACAGACTGAAAGAACCATGCTATCACCTGTAATTTTCTTCCTTAGGGCATGCCAGTATTGTTCAGAACATATATGGGTGTAACTTTCAACCAAGCCCTTGCGTTTCCTGGAATCACTCCCATATAATAAATTCAAATCCTTATCAGGTCCTTCTTCTAGAACTCAAATTAGACAATCCTAAACAATGTATAGCCTCTTAATCTAATACTCTTTACAAAGTCATCATTGGTATAAGTGCCACGGCAAGGCGCATATATGTCGCTTGTCCTAGATGCTAATGTTTTTAAGCAGATAGGAAACATGATTTTGAAGAGAGAAATCATTTATATGAGAATGGCCAGTGGGTAGGGGAAGGAGAGATAGTGTCATTTGTTTTCCATTAATGATTCCATTTATGGACAGATGGTCTGTAAGTTATGACTATAATGTGAGGAGACTGCTCCCTTTGTAACTCAGAAAATTTATTAACAATTAAGTTAGTCAAATTGATAATTTCCTGAAAATCTAGTAAAGACTAAGTTTGGAAGTAAATTTTAAAGAAAATTTGTCTTTTTTGCCTTCATTTTGTGATTTTATGAACAAGTCTTTTGCTTGGCTTCAAGACCCAAATGCAACCTGTATTCTTGTCATACTTTGTGACTACTCAAACTTTTAAACTGTGAATTTCCTTTCAGCTATTATATGTTTAGAAAGTGTATGCTGGATTATTAAGATTTTTTTCTAATATGAAATCTATATTACAGATAATTTTCTTTTCTCTTGCTGTCTCAATTTCAGTTTCCTATATTTTTGGAAAGCCTGGTTTTGCCAAAGCTGCAATTTCTGGTAGAAATCTGAAGGTCTGACTCAAGAAGAAAGAATCCAGTATAGCCAGTGAATTAAGGACAAGAAGGTTTCCAATCAGGTAGAAACACTTATTCTCATACATTCAACCACATTAAATAAAGGGTGCTGATGACTAGATATGATATCAGTACTTGGAAAAAATATATGTATGTATGTGTGTGTGTATATATATGTGTGCACGTATGTATGCATATAATCTACTCTATAAGGAAGCTGCAAACAATTCCCTTGGAGGTAGTGGTGTTTATCAGAGAGTACCTTAGGGGAAACTGAATACAATAACAGTTTGATGTTTTTTTTTCCATTTTTAGCTCACTGTTGCCAAGTACACTTAGTGATCTTGGTGCCTGTGGTTTATTCCCAGGAGGTTAGGCATGTGGGGCAGCAGATTAAACCTTTTGGTATTTTCTCTGAAGATAAATCATTTTCTCATAGGTTATCTCCATAATCTTCTACTTATTCATAAAAATTAGGGGCTCTCATAACATAAGTCTTCTATGTGAAGAATGATCCCAGTCAATGGTATGGGAAATTGATATCATTCTGGTTGGGGAACATCTAGTCTTCATCTTGGCACAAAGTGAATGTGAAAATATAGGAAGGTTGAAGGAAGGAGAACCTGAAAAAGAGAATCTATTTATCTGAAAAAAAAAAAATTTTTAAAAGTGATCTTTGTCCTTGAACTCCTTTATGTGAGAATCTATATTTTCAGGACCCAGCACTGTGACTGACACATGGAAAGTAAGCAACACCTTTTGTTGAAAGGATGAATGAGTTCCCATGATTCTAAAGATAATAATAAATAAGACCAACACAGATCTCATATTGCCAAGGTCTGTGGCAAAATTATTCATGAGGTGAAAGTCTGGGTTTCAGACTTCTAATTGGTTGTCAGAATTTATTCAGTTATTTGTGTATTCAAGAACTGGGATGTAAACCAGAGGTGTGGGGAGTGAGAGGATTCACCAGAGAGAATGGAGAGCAGAATAGGCAGGTCCACTGAAACACACTGCCGAAGGGAGCAGTGGGCGAGACAGAAGTCCGCTGAGCCATGTGGGTCAGCTCACTGGCTGGCAGGGGGAATCGAACAGTGGCAGCCGACAGCTTGCTAGCACTGTCTTGCTAGCACTGTGCCACCAGGGAGGCCCTATTCAGTTTTATTTTTATTTTTTTAATTTATTTATTTATGCGTACAAGAGCTGGGGTACAGACCAGAGGTGTGGGGAGTGAGAGGATTCTCCAGAGACAGAGTGGGGAACAGAACAGGCAGACTGACCGAAGTACACTGCTGAGGGGAGCAGCGGGTGAGTCAGGAGAGGTCTGCTGTGCCATGTGGGTTGCTCTCTGGCCGGCCAGGGGATTGAACTCTGTGTTGCATTGTCTGCAGACAGCTTCATAGGTTGCATCTTAACCCCTTGCACCACCAGGGAGGCCCCCTATTCAGTTTTAATCATTAACATACCATCTCATTACATTTAGGCATAGTAAATACATTAGACTTATTATTAAATTAATCGAATATGGATTGAAAATCCCTCATAAGCTTTAGTGCCTATTGTTTGTAAAATCTGATTTTCAGAGTATTTTTGTAATGAAAAAGTTAAGGGCAATTTCAGAATCACTAGCTACTAAAATTATTTATACTTTTCTACCAGTAGGTAGTATAGCCATATTATTACAGCAGCTATTTCTCTGTAATCTGTTGTTGTCATTATCTACATTCTCAAGGGAGAACAAAAGCCATTTCTTTAAGGAGAGAAATGTAAAATTTAGTATATTGTAGTGATTACAAAACCAGCACACACCCACACACACAGATATGAAGATGAAATAATCTAAAATAGCACCCTGGAACTCATTGCAAAATAAAAGGAAATCCACTCATATTTTATTATTTTATTAATGTGTAATATTTATGTGCTTATTAATAGCATTTTGAGTTTCTCATTGAAGAAATGCTATGTACCATTTTTATCATATTATTTATTTATCAATAACGGATGAGACTACCTCCTTTGCTCCATCCTTTTCCGCTTCCATTTTCTTTAGGAAATGTAGTTATCAGTTGTTTTTAAATTTCTAGGCAATCAAGTGAGTAGTGGCACATAAATAAAGATGCTAAATAATGTAGGCAGCTTCATTATTGAACATAAAGTCCTCATATAAGTGGGGAATAATTGAATAGCGTAAAGATATCTTGTAAGCCAAGATAAAATTTTTTAAAAAGGCTTATGATAAAGACTATGTTCTTTCAAAGTGGACCCCTTCTCTATAATTAATATCTAGAGGTTATTATTGTATCAAGAGGTACAATATGGTACAATGATTGTATCAAGATTTCTAAAAATATTATTGTTTAATAATTGATAGGTAAGAAAGAATATAGTCAGATATACGGAAGTTATGAAGAATAATAAAATCAACTCCTCTAGGGCCTCTCCTAGTGGCACAGGCGGTTGAGCACAGCGCTGTGAAGCTTTCTGCAGCCTCTGCAACGCCGGTTCGATCCCTGCTGGCCGGTGAGGGGCCCACATGGCGAAGCAGACCTCTCCTGTCTTGCCCGCTGCTCCCCTCAGCAGTGTACTTTGGTCAATCTGCCTGTTCTGTTCCCCGTTCTGTCTCTGGTGAATCCTCTCACCTCCACACCTCTGGCCAGTACCCCAGCTCTTGTATGCCTAAATAAATAAATCTTTTAAAATAAATAAATAAATAAAGTAAAATCAACTCCTCTAAATAGACACTGAAACTGTGAACTAGAATCAAAACTGCTCAATCTTCTTTTGGTGCTCTATCCTCATCTTCCATAAAAGAAATTACCCTGATCTTCACCTTATGTTCAAATTTCAGTTAATTTTTAAGTATGCTTTTACTATATATGTGATTTTGAGCTTATAGAGTTCCATAAAATTGGTATCAAAATTTAGTCTGATGTATACAGTTTTCTGTGCTTGCTTTTTTGGCATTCAGCATTTTATTTCTAAATTTCATCCATTTTGGTTTATTTAGTGTTCATTCCTTTTTACCACTGTAATATTGCTTTGTGTAAATGTAAGAAATTCGATTTATTCAGTATCCTATTGATGGTATTTGGGCTACTTTAGATATATTATAGTCAGTACTTCCATAACACTTATTTTAATGTTTCCTGGTACATGTGTCCAACATGTATTTTAGCATATGTAATTCAAAGTAGAACTGCTTAGTTGTAGAAAAATTAAACACTCAACTTTTAAAAAATAATACCAAAATGTCTTCTCATATTATAAAATCAATTTGTAATCTTATTGCTCTACAACCTCAGTAAAAATGGCCAGTCTAGTTGGTTTAAATCTCATTTTGTCATTGTGGTAGTCTGATTGAGTTGCCCTAACAAAATGCCACAGACTGAGTGGCTTTAAAAACATAAAAAATTATTTTCTCACAGTTGTGGAAAGTGGAAGTACAGGATAAAGGTGTGAGCAGGTTTGGTTTTTCTTGAAGCTTCTTTTCTCGGCTTGCAGACAACTTCTCACTGTGTCCTCATATGGACTGTCCTCTGTGTGTATGTATCCCTGGTGTCTATTCCACCACTTATAAAGACACCAGTCATATTAGGTTAGGACCCCACCCTTATGACTTCATTTAAACTTAATTACCTCTTTAACGGTCATTTCTCCAAATATGGTCACATTGATGGCTGGGACTTCAACATATGAAATCTGAGAAAAATTCACTTCATAAAAGTTTTCATTTGTGTTTTCTTAATTACTAATAGACTGAAAGTTCTCTCATTTGTGTAATAGTCGCCTATGATTCAAATTCTGTGAAATTCCAGAGAATATGTTTTGCCTATTTTTCTGTTGTTATTTTTAAACCCAAATAAATTATTAATCTTTTATCAATGATATATAATACAATTAACTCAGGTTATGACTTGTCCTCACTTTTTAAATGTGTTGTGATAGACACATAAATAGTAAAATTAAAGCTCTTAATTTTAATAAAACAAAATTTATTTTTTAGGTTAGTGTCTTTTTGTCTTAAGATGTACTATCCTAGCTTAATGGTACACAGATATTGTACATTTTCTTCCAAAAGTTTTGGTGTCTTATTGTTTATTCTGTATTTAGGCATTAGAATTGATTTGTATGTGATTCAATTTCTTTATTTCCTTACAAATAATTAACTTTCTCAGGACCATTTATGAAATAGTCCATCTTTACCATAGGAATCTTTAATGACTTCTGTGTAATATATGAAAATTTACCTTAGGATGAATCATTTTATCCATAGACCAGCTATATATTTCTGATTTTTAGAACTTCTTTAATATTCTTCAATAAGAGTCTATGACTTTCTCCATAAATTTCTTCTACATCTTTAGATTTATTCCTAGGTAACCTTTTCTTTTTTTTTTTTTTTTGCTATTTTAATTGAAATTTTATTTTATTACTTTTTGTTGTGCTAATGTTGCTTTACAATACTATATATGATTTAGAGTTACAGGTTCACACCTTTTCAATATATGTTAAACACCACTATGACCACCAAAGCACTAATAATTCTCCACTATATCTTTCTCTTTGTTCCTGGTTTATAGAATACAATAGGATTTATTTGTTTGTTTCTTGAGCTTTTTATACCTTATTCATTAAAGATTTTATTAACAAAAAGGGAGAAATGTTTATTATATATTACAGGTTAGCATTGGTCAATAAAACTTTCTGTGATATAGAGATATCATAGAAATATCACAGAATATCTTTATGCTATCCAATAATAGTTATTTTTTTAAGCGTGAATTCAATGAAATTGAGATGTAGTTTTCTGAGTCAAACTAGCACACAATTCAAGTTTTTAATAGCCACATGTGCAATACTGGACAGCATAGCTCTAGCCTATTAGACTGGAATAATGTGATAATGTAGTCCCAGATTTTTGTCTATGTCATAATTAGGTCTTTGATATGACAGTTACTTTTTAAAGTTACTTAATTTAGTTATCTGTAACTTTTTTTTTTAAAGATTTATTTATTTATACAAGCATTGGGTACAGTCAGAAGCACGGGAGGGTGAGAGA